TAAAATACGCGATGTACTCTTTTTTCCTTATTAAGGTTTTTTCCCACAGGGTTTTCCTTATAAAGTTTTTAATGAGGCAGCTAACAATGCGTATTACTAANATCAGGGGGAGTAAAATACGCGATGTACTCTTTTTTCCTTATTAAGGTTTTTTCCCACAGGGTTTTCCTTATAAAGTTTTTAATGAGGCAGCTAACAATGCGTATTACTAAATATGTGTACTCTTTTTCCTTCACTAGGATTTTTTTCCACGGGGTTTTTCCTAGTAAGGTTTTAACGAGGCACATTATCTTTTAATGAATATTCAAGGGGGAGTGTTATGAATATATTATATAATGGATGTTCATTTAGTACTCCGTTGTAAATAAGCTTCCTGAAGAAATTTATCCATATGAGACTCCGCCATAAATACATTTATCTATTTAGTACTCTATTGGAAATAAGCCTCCTGAAAAAACTTATCATTTCGGTACTCCGTTATGGATAAATATTACCCATGATAGAAGATTATCTATATCTGGCACAATAGTTTAGAGCAGCAGCTTACACAACAGCTTACAAGCAGCTTGCAGCAGCAGCTTACAAGCAGCTTACACAGCAGCTTACAAGCAGCTTGCAGTAGCAGCTTACACAGCAGCTTGCAGTAGCAGCTTACACAGCAGCTTCCTTTCTTCTATAAATAGAGGAGAATTCAGTTTATTATATACAGAAATTTGAAGTTTGAATAATATATCAGTTTCTCTACCGTTTTTATTTTATAACAATAATACGAATTTCCACATTATTCTTGAAACAAAACGAGTTTTAAAAGGTGGGAAAAAAAATTATTAGCCTGTACTGTAAGTAAAAATGGCGTGGGCAGTTTCGGTAATTGAGGGTTCCCCCGCCTAGGGTTTTATTAGATGGTCAATATATAAACAAAATGATCACACAATTCTTCTTCCTCAGCTGTCTGCATCTCCTTCTTCAGGCCGTCAAAGTAAAATCCCAATTTGGTGAGTCCCAAAATCTCTTTTTTCCTCTATAGTCACTATTTTTCATTAGTCAATCAGCTTAACTCTTGCGATATTATTTTTGTAACTGGAAACGACAGGGTTGTTTGTGGTGTGAAATAATGGCAACAGTACCAGGGCAATTAGTGTGGGAAATCGTGAAGAAGAACAACTCCTTTTTAGTGAAGGAGTTCGGCAATGGTAGCGCCGGTGTTGTGTTTAGCAAAGAGCCTAACAATCTTTACAATCTTCACTCTTACAAGCACTCTGGTCAGTGCTTCACTACTTTCAATATCTGAAATTCATTTAGTTACTCAAATATTGAACGTTGATGTGATGTTCACTTTTTATTAGACTAATTTTGGACCATTAAAAATTTAGTTATTAAAGCACATAAAAGATAGGGCACAATGGGTGATACATATTAGTTGAGAATATGTTTGAGATTTTAGCACTTTTACGGCAGGTCTTATGTTTTCTAGGAGTGGTTTAACCTTTCAGAAATTTATGAATTTCTAATGCTTTTTATTGTTATTTGCATAATAGTGACATGAGATGGTTCAAAATGGAGTATTGTGGTTAGTGAAGATTCATATGGCCAATCCCAACTTGTTTGGGACTGAGGTGTAGTTGTTATTGTAATAAGTTTTTCCATCACAACTAATATAATGCACGAGTCAATTTATCATATTAATTTCGTGTTCAGCCAAATGCCGTGGATATTTGGTATGAGAATGAAATGGATGTGGAAAAAGCAGAATGTATATAGAGCATTATAGCCGACCCCAACTACTCTGTGATTGACCTTTAGTTGATTGATAGATTGCCTTTGAACCTACTTATAGGCACTAAAACTTTTAGTTGCATTGTGTGATTTGATATATTATTTTTGAAGTTTTAGAAATTTTGGTTTGCCATGCCTCGAGTTACAGTATAGTTGAGCTGTTGTTGTATTGAATTTGTAGGCCTAGCAAACAAGAAAACTGTGTCTATCCAGGCTGGAGGCAAAGATCAATCTGTGTTGCTTGCTACAACGAAGACCAAGAAACAGAACAAGCCTTCAAGCTTGCTAAACAAATCTGCAATGAAGAAGGAATTCCGCCGCATGGCCAAGGCCGTAACAAACCAGGTAGCGATTTGATTGACCTTTTCTGACCACTGGGCAGGAGCAAATTTACTGCATTATAGCTACTTTATAACTGGAAAATGTCTTTCAACAATAACCTAAACTGGGTTCTTTATGTGAATGAAATTGCTTAGGTTCTCTCTGTAATGTAACCTAAACTGGGTTCTTAGTTTGTTAAGTTATATTGTGAAGAGATTGTACGTATCAACAGTAAAATTTACTTCCCAGAGAGCTAGAGAAAATTGCTCATAAAGTCGATATGTTGGTTATTATCTATTGTTTGCTTTCTTCCTCACTAGTTATAGTCCTCTTGATGTTTGTTCACATTTTGAAATTCCTCAATAAACACTAAAGCATTAAGATCTCTAACCTTAGTTTGCTTTCTGGGATGGACGGATGGTCAATTTCTATCAAAGTGTTCTTTTTAAAGTATTTTTGTAATTTGAAGACTGGTTCTAATGGTTATTTGGGTGAGAACTATCACTTCTATATAGTAAGCAAAATGCTAGTGATTACTGAAATTCAAGCCAACCAATCCAAACCAAATAGCCCTCAAGAATCCTGATGTGGAATCTGGTCTGATACTTGACTTTTAGAAAGCTTTAATGAACCGTAAAGAAAATATCCGAACCATTTTGACTTCCTTCAATATATTCCTCACTGTTTTATCTCTTAGCACTCTCTCCTCATTATTGTTATTCGATGTGCTGCTTGTTGTATTGCCTGAGTTTATGAGGCTTTTGCTTTAGGAACTCTTCGATAATCAATGCATTTATCCAAAAAATCGTCAACACGAATATCCTTAGGTTATTTCGATAAAGCGCGTTACTTTCTTGGCTCAATTTATGATTGGTCTTTATACAGGTTGCAGACAACTATTACAGGCCAGATCTGAAGAAGGCAGCTCTTGCACGGTTGAGTGCAGTGAACAGGAGTCTCAAGGTCTCCAAGTCTGGTGTCAAGAAGAGGAACAGGCAGGCCTAGAATATGAAATGTTACATTATATGAGTTTGATGCATTGTTCTCCTCTTGTTAAGTACCAAAGTTTTGCTTTTCAATTTTATGTTTTAATCTTTCTTTTCAAAAAGCTGTCGGGAATGTTGCCCCTTGCTTTTGGATTAAATAGACTTTATGATCATTTAGAAAGATCCATTCAATTTGTGGAAGCTGTGGTATAGTGGACGTTTATGAATGGCCCGTTCCGTAGTTCTGCCTGGAATTGTCGCATTTCTTTCTTAACTATAGTTTAATTGGATCAGCTGCTGAGTTGGTATGGTTTGCATGTGGTCTGGAATTAAATAAACTATTGTAAATATGAAAATTCAATTTTCTTTTTAGAGCAAATTAAGAACGAAAGTGTGTTTGGTACATGGGGAGTAACAGAGACCTTAAATATGTCATTAAGTAGCAAATTAAGAACGAAAGTGTGTTTGGTACATGGGGAGTAACAGAGACCTTAAATATGTCATTAAGTCTACTTATCTGATGCGTAGAATAGATGTGTTAAAACTTGTGAAGGGGGAACTTTTTGTTTCCATCACTGAAGAAACAATTTAGGTTCTTTATAACTAAATTTCCTTGTGGTAAACCATAATTGTTTTGAGTTTGATAATTCGAGCAGCTGTGAGCTGCATTATTGGATGTCTTACATGCACATTGTCTAAGGCTTTCCAAATTTCAATGCTTTTTCATGTTAATCGTGCTGCTCGCAAAAGATGGAGTATTTTGGAACACCATGTATCAAAACAACTAATAGTTGCTTAACTGGATTTATCTTAACTTGCATAATCTTAAGGTTCTCTAAAATTTAATGTTCGAGACCCTTTAAAACAATCCTGGTCGATTTTCCACTTCTTGATGGAACTCCACTTGCCAATTATCCCCCTTTGCGTCATTCTGTGTCTTTCAGACGTTCAGATGAATTCTCTGTTCGTTTTTACTTCTTCAAAGTCACTCCTTTATCCAATTTGTGAGCAGAAAAAAGATTGTGGTTGGAAATTGTCTAATTTGGCTTTTGTAGCCACCCTTGCCTTGTTCCAGGCCCGTGTCGTACCGACGACTTTCGACTGTAAGGGCACGGGTGAATGTGGGTGCCACGCGAAGATTCATATCAATCAGGAGGAAGGGATCTAAACAGCTTATAAGCTGCCCATAACTCTTTACCTCACGAGCTAACTTAAGTGCCACGATATGTTACTCTAAACGGTTGATACGTGACTCACTCAATTCCCAGTCAGCCAAAATTGGACTTTGCCTGGGGCCAAGATCTCCACGATATGCATTGTAGCAAAGTGCATTCTTGCAGCTACTGCTATTCGAGTATTGCATACCCGGCGTGACAGAAAGCAGTTGCTAAAAGGCAACTGATTTAAATTCTGCTATGTCCATTCGCAAACAAGAACATTTGTCCTGAATAGCTACTTTTTTTTTGCCTCTCAGGTAAACACGGCCCACATGTCAAGATCCTACTACAAACTTACTGTCCTAAAACTTTTGCTGCAGTCCCCCTCTTATACATATCAAAATCCACAACTACATTATAAGACATTTAATCCAAATTCTCCGAGCTTAGGCGCCAGATCACCTTTGCTACAGCAACAACATCAGTAACCAACATGATGAAAAAAGGCTTTTACCCCTTCATATGCTGAGGTAAACATAGTCTAAAGCAGTTACCATTAAAGAGGTAAGAGAAACTGGTTTTGCTTAGAGCCAAGTTAATGGGGGAAAACTTGGCAAGGATTAATAACATGAATTCTAGTTTTTTCCCCCTATAGTCCATATAGAGGACAGTGAACTTCCATCTAAGGCTTTAGAGAAAGAAACAAATGCTAAGCTAGCAGCACGTCACCGTGTAGAAAACAAAGAACTTGCAGCAATAGTCTTCCAGTCTTGAACCTTGAACCATGGCCGGAACTTGTTCAATAGAAGTAGCCAATAACTTGACCACCCACATTTTGCCGCATTGCTTCTTCGTGATCCAAAACTCCATTTGGTGTTGTAATAACAACATAGCCCCACTGCATAAATATGAGTAAATCAGTTACTTCTACAGGAAATAATAGAAAGGAAATGGAGGTATAATGGACCTGAGTTGGATGTTAAAAGTAAATGAACCACAGTCATGTAGGACTTTAACGGGGAGGAAAGAAAAAGGATAAATAATATTTTTACTAAACAAATATATATCCAATGCATGGGACTAAAAAAGGTCCAGATTGGTCTAATGAATTATAAAAAAAAACCGCTCTTTGCATTGCTTCGTTGCTTCAAGCGACAAAGCGCTAGCTTTTATAACACCGCCAAACAGGGCAAACTAGGGGAACAGACTCTAGTATAAAGACCCATATATAGGTCCACGGGCATGTATCTACAATCAAAGGAATTGCAAGAACTGCCAGAAGCATATAGGTGGCTTGTATTTTGATACAGATCCATTTTTCGGGCATATATACCGGGATAACATACTGATTGCAGTCAAAAACAAACCAAAAAAAAAATCTAGTGCTTTTATTTTCAGAAATCTCAAAATAGAAAAGGAAGCCAAAATAGAGTAAAAGGACCACCACCCCTACTTTTATAATTTTCCAATGAATCACAAACTTTCCCTATTGGTAATATAATGAAGAAAAGAACTAGACTAATATAAACTAGAAAGAAAATCAGAAGCAGGAATGTTAGGGGAAAGACATGTAAGTTATAGTAAAAATATATTAGAAAGAAAATTGGTAAAACAAAGTAAGTTAGGATAAAGGGGTGATGGGGTCGAAATACAGATTCAATCAGAAAAAAGAAACAAGATCAAAGGTTAACAGGTTAGCATTGGTGAACCATCCAGATTCAAACGGAGAAAAGATAAGAAATGGGAATACTTATAACAATACATCACAATGAAGTACTTCGTAACGAAGACGTCTTTTTCCCCCTCTTTTTTGACAAGTGATAAAGACAGAGATCTCAAAATTCAAAACTCATGAACAAGACGTCAGTTAGTGTTCCTTGTTTCTATATCTGATGAAAAATCATGTTGAATGAGAAAAAGAAGCATTAGAGGGAGCAAACAAACCTGACGTGTCGGTAGTGCGCGTGTCTTGTAATTCTCAATGCTTGCAGCCTTGATGTCTTGTCTGTAGGTGAGAGCACGACAATCATTGACCCTTCCAAGCAATTGGACAGTTATCTTGCCAACTCTATGAGGATCATGCACATGAAAGTCTTTGATATAACCTGAAAAACCAGTTCAAATTTAAGCAGCATGCAAAGCTTTATAACTTCATTGACTTAAGAGTTTTTCCAAATGCTTTGTAAGTATAAAAAATTGATCTGTAAATTCTATTTAGAAAAGCCCAAAGCTAAAAAAAAGTCCTCACTTTCTCTTGAACAAGGGAAGGGCATCATAGCTTTAGCAATTGAACAAGCTCAACCTTTAAAAAAGGGGTTAGGCCGAAGAATTGTTGAACACTTCAACTTGGCCACTGAAGAATGCGAAGGGCGGGTGAGAGATTAGGCTATCTTACTGATTACTGCCATGCCAAGGTTTAAGCTTTAGGCTCCATAGACAGAACTCTGTTTAGGTATTAGGGAGGGGAAGACACCACTCAAGTCTCAACACCTAAGGTGAGGTTCATTCTCTAATGAATTACTCCATCGTGGAAAGCACAACAAACATAAATTTAGGCATTGGATGACAGAAAACGTTATTCCTTTGCTTAGAATTTTTTTTACAAACACTTTGCAAATACTTCTAATTGTACAAACTGTTACTAATAGTCTCTCTGTCCCAATTTATGCGATATACTTTCTTTTTTAGGTTATCCCAAAAAGAATGATATTTTTCTATATTTAAAATAATCTAACCACAAATTCCAAAAATCTTTCAAAGTATGCATTGCTACTTGTTTAAAATAGGTACTAAGTTTTTCCTAAAGAAAGTCCGAAATCATCCAGACAATTAGACCCTTTAACTCTTGTATTCCGAGCCCATCATTCTTTTTGGGACGGATGGAGTAATAAAAACAACATTGGTGCGGAATCATATTATAATGAATTACTCCGCCATGGGAAGCTCAAAAAAACATAATTTACAGGGAATTTGTCTTATTAAGAGATGTGGTATATAATTACCTCGATATTTCATGATTTGTAGAAAATTAGCAATGACATTGGAGACAGGTTGGAGCTGAGCTGAAGCGAAACCTCTCTTTTCAGCGTTCACAATTGTCCTCAACGCATCGTTCAGTATTCTCCGGCCCATTTCCGCCGCCGCCGCCGCCGCAACTGATTCTTCTCCGGCGACTGTAAAACCCCTTCTGTTGAGGAAAAATAGAGGCCCAATGGAAATGGATCAGAGAAGAAAAGGAAAGCCCATCAAATAGTAGTCCATATAAGGGCCTGGGAAGCCCGTGTGCTATTGGAAAGTTCCTTTTTTGGGAAAATAACATTCTCAAAATAATAGCAAAAAAATATATTTTTTGGATATATATACATTATGTATGTTATACCAAATATTATACAAATTTTATATATTTTTTCGGTTACAAATATAAATAGTTTCTGGTACGGACTAAAATTGAAAAAAAAACATCTTCTTTTTTTCTTCATTTTTCATTTAATTACTGAGTCTACCAAAATTAAATGACAAAATAAGTCAATTAAAAATATAAGAATAATAAGAAGAACAATTTACTAAAAATAGAACTCATCATATATATATATCTATTTTATTTTTATTTTTAGTCTTTGGACTAATTTAATTGAGGAAAACTTATGCTATAACTTTCCTAAACTATCTTCCATACCATAATTTTCTAATCACTAATACTAATAATTATGCTAAATTAGCATTTTAATTTTGCTACTTGAAACAGCAATGCCTCAGGAATGAGTTTGCTTACACTATTGGTCTTGTCTGTACATAAATAACAAAGATCATAATAGGTTTACCGATATGGATAATATAATAATAAATAATTTAGGAGAATTATTAAAATATATTGCCATATTAGACGTACTAAAGGAGCGTTTGAGAGTGAAATATGTTTAAATGAAATAAAATGAAGATTCATTTAACCAAATCCAACAAACTTATATGCATAATTTTTGTTGTTTTTGTATTTTGTAGTACTTGAAAAATCAACATTAATTTCAATTACCCTTTTAATTTACCGGAAAATATTAGACAGGTACTTAAAACAATTAGAACGAAGCGGTAACTGGAGTTATTACTATACACTTTTACGAATTTTACATTACATTTTTTACAGTAGTTAGATAATATCTCGGAATATACGAGTATAAAATAATTAATCTGTGGCATTTGCCCTTCTCTACAAGCAAACAGCAAGCGCCCAAATTCCAAACAGAGGAGTAACGAGAGAGAAACCTATTCCCCAGTCCCGATCCTGCCAACGCCGAAGCTCCCATAACCATGGTCACAGGTCTGAACTTCCGCCATAACTTTCTTCGTCTCAGCTTTACTATACTCTAAATTTGAACTATAATGCCACATTGATGTGAAAATTCATACTTAGGTATCGATTTTCTAAAAAAGAGATTTATTTTGTGTTCATGCTTCGGTTTCAAGTATTGGAGAACCTCGTAATCGTGCTCTGTAAGCTTCTAGTTTAACCGATCCTAATTTTTCTTAGAAGCTCGGATTATTTAGTATTGGAATGAAATGAACCTGAATATTGTGGACGATACAGAGGAATATTGAGGCGTAGTTGATTGATTGATTGATAGTTTTAAGTAAGAAGACCTATTGGAGATTGTGGTGAAGCTTATACAGGTCCAGCTGGACTTTGTTTTCACAATCTCTTTTTGTTAGGGTTAAATAAACCTGCTAGAATGTTTTACGTGTCAAAAAAATCAACCTGCTAGAAATTTTTCAATTTGGTGATTGGGGGGTGAGTTGGATGAAATGGAGGTTAGCATCTGGAGTCCCGTGTGACAAGAAAGTGCCATTGATACTCAAAGGTAAGTTTATAGAGCGATGTTGTATGGGGTAGAGTGTTGTCCGGTTAAAAACTCACATATATAGAAGATGAAAGTAGTAGAGATGAGTATGTTGAGGTGGATGTGTGGGCACACTAGGATGGATAAGATTAGGAATGAAGATATTCGGGAAAAGGTGGGCGTGACAAGATGCGGGAAGCGAGACTCAGATGATTTGGGCATGGGCGGAGGAGAAGCCCTGATGCCCCGATAAGAAGGTGTGAGCGGTTGGCTGTAGCGGGAATGAGAAGAGGTAGAGAGCGGCCTAAGAAGTATTGGGGAGAGGTGATCAGGCAAGACATGGCGTGGTTTCAGATTTTCGAGGACATGACCCTTGATAGTAAGGTGTGGAGATCGAGCATTAGGGTTGTAGGTTAGGAGGTAGTTGAACATTTTTCTACTTCGTTCCGGGTGTGAGGATAGACTGATAGGGTTTGTCTTAGATTTCTAGTGGTTTATGTTGTGTTCTCTCTATTCTCCTGTTTTTCTTTACTGGTTATTGTATTGCGTTTCAACTATTTTTTGGTTTCTTATAATGCTTTATTATTTCTATGATTTCTGTTGATGGTACTGATATATTGTCTTTTTCGTCTTTTTCGTTTTCTTGAGCCGAGAGTCTATCGAAAATAGCCTCTCTACTCCATGGGGTAGAGGTAAGGTCTGCGTACACACTACCCTCCCTAGACCCCTTACTTCTGGGATTTTACTGGGTTGTTGTTGTTGTTGTTGGTGATTGTTTAAGTTTGTCGAAGTTTTTTTTTTCCTTCTCGCAAAAACGTTTTTGCAAGAACTGTATTTTGAAGTTGTGGTTTGAGAGTGTTTGTCAAATAATCTTTCAAACAAACTCTCTTNGCGTCTGATGGTGTATTAAAGTTCAAACATCATTTGTCTTTGCTCTAGGAGCAGATATTTTTATCATTATAGATACAGATTTACTCCCACTAGGATACCCCTTTTTTCATTTTCTTTTGATTGTACCTCCTATTTATTTTTGCACTTGGACAATTACGGGCTATAATTCTCTCCTTGCAAATCTGGTGATTGGTTGCAGTAAGTGTAAAGTGGCAAAAAGAAGTCTATCCTGCTGTGGAAATTGACACTAGCCAGCCTCCTTATGTTTTCAAAGCCCAGCTGTATGATCTAACAGGGGTACCACCTGAAAGGCAAAAGATAATGGTCAAAGGTGGTTTGCTTAAGGTATAAAATTTCGTTTCACTTAGCTTGTTATGCCATTTTTCACTTTGCAAATGAAGCACAAAACTCATTTGTGTTTTGAGGAACGCTGAAATTCTCAGCATCTGATGCTTTGCTTGTTAATTTTGTTGTTTACTCTTCGGTTATTTCCATGGTTGTTTAGGACGATGCCGACTGGTCGAAAGTAGGAGTAAAAGAGGTACACGGCTACTCACTGAATTACTCTCTATTTTTATGCAATGAAGTGCCAGTTATCTAGAAGCATCTGTTATTTATTATTTCAGGGTCAAAGGCTGATGATGATGGGAACTGCAGATGAGATTGTGAAGGCCCCTGAAAAAGGTCCTGTTTTTGCTGAAGATTTACCTGAAGAAGAGCAAGTGGTTAATGTGGTAAGTTTTTTGACACTGCTGTTGTTGCATCAAATCGAATGATCGGGAGATGTGTGATTCCTTATGTTTAACTGCTTACATAATTAGTCTTATCTCATATGCTGTACTTATACCAGCACTGGATCCCTAGTAGATTTATTGGTAGAATTTTACAGCACTTGCTTTGTTCATTTTTTTTTAAAAAGCAGTTGCTTTGTCCAACTTCTACATGCAAATAAGCTTTAATATATAATTCTCTATTCTTGTTCCTCTGGCACAAGTGATTTTGTGGATGCCAAGGATGGTGTAGTTTATGGATAAATCTTAACTCCTCCAAAAAGAGGAAAAAGAAACCAATGCTGGAGATGAAAGGAGTGAAGTTAATAGATTCGACACTGAAACACAGCCTAGTGGAAAGAATACTCTGACCTTCAATGATTAGATTGGGGTTTCGGGTGGCTTGTCGAATGCGTTTCTTGTTCCGCTGGCACAAGTGATTTTGTGGATGCCAAGCGCTTGTCGAATACGTGATTTCTTCATTTACACGTTGTGAATCGGATTACTATGTTGTTTTAGAATCAGATTACCATGTTGTTTTAGAGTCCTATCTAAAAGAACTGCTAACTTTTATAATGGCAAGGCTTAGTTTTGTACTTTTAATCAGTAAATGAGGGATGAGAATTTTTATAATTTTGTTTCCTCCAGGGTCATTCTGCTGGATTATTTAATCTCGGAAATACATGCTACATGAACTCCACAGTACAGTGCTTGCATTCAGTTCCGGAACTGAAGTCTGCTCTAACAGAGTGAGCATTTCCATTTTTCATCCTTTCCTCCATTTTTGGGAGTCTTTTTGTTTAGGCTTTTTTTTGGTCCTTTTGCTTTAGCCTTGATTTCCCAAAACTTGATCAAATTCAATATGGTTGCTTTTAAGTCTAGGTCTGAAAAGATTTAGGTCTATTTTGATTCCTTTGCACTTTTTTGGTTAGGCAATTCGATCTATTTGCACCTAATCCGTAATTCCTGTTTTCGCTAAAATTGATAATTTTGATTTTACTGTTTATATTTGTCAAATCTATTAATCATAATTTAACTTATATAATGTGTCGCATTGTATACACCTAGATAGTATGTACTTACGGAGACAAAGCGGAGAAAACAGTAATTAGTAGAGGAGACGTAAATTATCCTGTTTTAGTTCCTATTTATCCTCCCTTTTATAAATGTGGACTCGTTTCACGGCATGTGCTCCTTTGGATGAAATCAGTCCAAAATGTAATCCACTTTGAATCAATTTGGATTCCGAAACTGTGGGTCTTTCCCGAACATTATAAGAAAAAAGATCAAAATGGCTCCTGCTAAATACCAAGTGTAGGAGTTCCAAAAACAACTCCATTAGGTACATGTTCTTCATACATGATTAATTTGTATTCTCTTGTGTTCCTGAGATTTTGAGTTTGTTTATTCTTCCTGTTAGGTATAACCAGCTCGGTAGAAGCAATGATTTGGATCACTCATCTCATCTCTTGACAGTTGCAACAAGAGATCTGTTTAATGACCTGGATAAAAATGTCAAACCAGTGGCGCCAATGCAATTCTGGACGGTACTTTTTTTTGTCTTTATTCTATTTCCTAATATTTTCTTCGGTTATGACTTTGTATTCTTACAAAATGTCTTTGGATTTTGAACAAAGTTACCATACCTTTGAAGAAGGATATGTATGCTGAGTAGGAGACAGTGTTTGCCAATAAATTCCTGTTGGCAGACTTCAAAATATACTCGTTTAGCATTGA